GTGTGTGTGTATGTGTGTGTGTGTATGTGTGTGTGGGGGGGGGGGGCTGAAAGCCCTGTCTGAAGTGGTACTTAGATTTACATACAATAGAAAGGAGGGATCCCCAAAATCCTGCTTCACCTGTCAGAAGTGGTGAGGAGATACAGCCCCAAACCCCGACCCCCACCCCCCCCACGGCACAGAGACAGATAGAGCGCGTGCTTCGCTGTGCACGTCACACCCGCTCTTTCTTATTTCCATCACGGCTTCATACTTTAAGCACACGGGGGGCTCCCCTGGTGCATAACGCATGTGTGGCATACTGCTGGGGGGGGGGGCACAGAGTCGGCGCTTACTCACTGGATGGCTTTGGAGGACTGGGACCGGAACTTGCTGAATTCCCCCGGCGCCGTCCATTCTGAGCCCAGCTGAAAGACAGGCGGTGAGCAGTTACACGCAGGGATGCCGGGGTGCGTGGAGACGCCCGTGACAGACATGATGCTGTGAGAGGCTACGCTTTGTCCTGTGTTGCACCATGTGTTTGTATTTGTACACTTTGCGCCCCTTTGCTGCTGGGGATCGATAAAAAATGTCACCCATCCACAATAATAATAATAATAATAATAATAATAATACATTCTATTTGCAACACACTTTACATTTGAAGCAAATCCCAAAGTGCTATCCATCCATCCATCCATCCCTCCATGCATCATTTCACCCTGAGACACTAGTGAACAGAGAGGTAGTGTATCATTTCACACTTACACGCACTAGTGAACGTGGAGGTTGGACACAGTTTCACACTGACACACACTAGTGAACACAGAGCACTGTTAGCACCCTGACATACCAGCACTGTTCATGGAAATGGCCACTGCAATTAAAGTGGACAGGAAGCACCAATGCGACCTTCTGCAGTACACGTGCACCTTGCCCCCCCATGGCCGCCTGCTCACCCAGTGACTTGAAGTGAAAATGAAAGGGGGGGGGAGGCAGAGCTGGGTGCAGCGTTTCGATATGTCAGCATGTGCTCCCAGCCTCAGACGCTGATTCCTCACAAAACCATCTGTCAGGCGAGGATCCCAGCTGCTGCCGTGGATGTTTGTCACAGTGCCGCGTGCTCAGCTTTTTTGGGGGGGGGGGGGGGGGTGGGATTCTCACTAGTATCACCCCCCCATCTTTCATCCTTGTCACTCCCTCACTCGCATTTTTTCTTCCGAAAAAAAGCCAAATGGCGTTTAACATAAACAGCAGCATTATAGCACGACAGAAATCAAACGAACAACAGAACCAAGAAGCTCACAAAAATAAGAAACACTAATTATAGTACCAAACCTGGCTATAAAATAAAAATATCACCTGAAAATGGGTGGCAGACAGTGGACTCTAGTTGAATGTCAATAGTGTCCTGTGCCTCTCACTGGTCACACTCTCTATATTCACATAGATACATACATCGACTCCCTCTACATTGCAATAACATTGCATCAGCAGTTTAACATATCAGGAAGCTCTATACTAGCTGGTGTGGCTGCACAGGCCCGCGGTAACAGGAAGTAGATGCAGACTGAAGAACTTTATCATTTAAAACAAAAAGTGGGGCAGCAGACCTACCTCTCAATGCATGAGCGCCGATCTCGCAGCCCAAACCAGGGGATTAGCGCCACTGACTCTCAGAGATGCCTGTGCCCCCCTCCAGGAGATCCCGAGGGGCAGAGACAGGAGTGAGGTGAATCTAATGGGTGGCAGACTCCTGGCACCCCCGGGGTGCGCCTTGACCAGCCGCGGTGACTGTCTCTCCCCCGTGATTTCTCAGACGCTACACATTTCCCCACAGGCGTCCCGAAAAACGAGTTCCCAGCCAGCCACAAACCCTGAAGCGCAGCGTCTCGCCCCCGGAGAACTTTTTTCCAAATATTTTTCTGTGTGGCTGCATCTTCCAATGCAGTTCCTATTCCACATGACCTCCAGGTCAGAGAGGCACTCTCACATGCATCGATACAGCCGACTGCCCCTCCCCTGCCCCACTTATGGCTCCTCCCAAACTCAGGTGCCTCCCCAGGGGTGATGAAAATGTTCGCTGCTTATAACCCTGACCGCTGACTGACATGTATTTTGCTATTTTTACATTTCCATTATACTCAGAATTCTTTCCTGTTCCCAAAGTCCAGAATCTCCAATTTGTGAGTGAAAAGGCTAAAACTTTCCAGTTTCTTACAGATTATTATACTTTACTATGTTTATGTGGTGCAGCTTGGTGTGTATCTGCCTTTTCCACACAAATGTAAGTATCAGATCTTTACTCTCTACCTTAAGGTGAGGTAAACAAGCAAAATGAGGTTAGTAAGAAAAGGCAATGAAAGATTTAAGAGCTGGCAAAGTTGACCTGAAAGCAGATCAAGAGGCTTATGTTCATTTTTCATGTCGCTGTCATAAGCTGTATTTTAAGCTACCGCGATTTCACGGGTGATTCTGATCTCATGACTTGGAACGCATGGCGTATGAGTGATGTCACTCCAGGAGGTGCAGAAACGCATGGAGCACTCTGATCACCCTGAAAGACACCCTCACCAGCAGGGAGGGGAAAAAAAAACCTGCAACAGGCAAAAATAAGCTATGAGTAAATTTAAGCACAAGTTACTATCACCCACGTCTTCAAGGGGAAGCAGGCCATGCACACAGCACCAAGAACAGCACCACAGCCTGACAGGTCTCACCAGGATCCTTCGCTTCACTGAAATCTCCGCACCTTCATCAGCTCTGTAGGCTGACAGTGCACATGGAGGTGAAAAATAACACTGCTGAGTGTACAATTTGTCCACGAATCACAAACCTTCTGCACTCAGGGTCCCATACATGGCTGCTGCCCAGTGCCACGAGTTCCTCTGACCGTCATGACCTCAGTGAGGAATGCTGATTTTTTTTTTTACCCACTCTGCTCAGGCGATTTCTGATTAAACTGGCTGCTTGCACAGCAGCTTGATATAAAGCCGGGTAGTATGAAGGGTCACATCTGTGCAATCACAACATCTGTATGGTCATGCTTGTTCAGTCACAAGATCTGCACTCTCATACGGGATACCATTCATACACAAACTTAATTCGTCCATACGAATGTTTACATTGTCACAAATACATTTAAAATGTGTTTTAGACTGTACACTTTTTTTTTAGTTTATGAATCACATTTGAATATTAAATCTGTTTTACTTTCAGAGAGCACACACAATTAGGCAGTAAGCCAATTCAAAGAAACAATTTTCAACAGCTTGATTACATTTAACTCGAGGTAGATGACAGGGACATACGCAAGGAGATTAAATGAATGCAGCACACAACTGCTAAAGGTGGAATCCATCAAAGCTCACTCATTTTCAATGTCTCTTATTTCTGCTTCATGAATAACGACACAAGACTGCATGGTGTGCTGATTGGAATGGCGTGTGCAAAGGGGGCTCTTTGCTCTTACCTGTTAGCAGTTAGCATGTACGCTAAATGGATGAATAACTGAAAGTGCTATGTCCCGCCCTCTTAAAGTGATAACGAACACGGGATCATCATTTTAATGCACGTGGTGGGTGTTCACTGGGGGCGAGGAGGCAAAAATGATTGGTGGACTGCGTGACATTTGCTTAAGAGAGTGGCAGTTGCATTTGCTCATTGGGCGGCAGTGCTGCATTGCACCCCCAGAGTTGGGGGCAGGAGTCCCTCCTATGCTCTTTGCGGGTGCAGCTTGCATGTTCTCCCAGTCTTGTGTGGGTTTCCACCCACAGTTCAGAGACACGCCGTTAGGCCAACTGTCGTCTCAGCCCTGCTCATAAAATACGACGAGTATGTGCCTGCAATGGACTGGCATCCCATCCAGGACGTACCCCCACACACCCTTATACCCTGTGCTGCCTGGGACAGGCTCCAGAAGACCCTGATCAGGAGAAGCAGTAGGAAGATGGATGGAAATCAAATGTAAGCAGATACCTTTCTTCAAAAGGAGAAGGAAACATCTCCATTGAAACAGGCTTTCGATTTATTTTACTTCTGATAGAGGTGCACCGATGTGGAAATTTTGACTGATGCCGATATATATTTTGTCTAATATTACCAATAACCGGCTAACCTCTGAGCTCCGCAAACCTGTAGTGAAACTGATGTTACTTCTTAAGATTCCATAAATGTGTGTAGCAACAACGTCATCTAAGGCAGGGAGACATTACTGAAGTAGTGCCGAATTGGGAGACTTAGGAAGGTTCTATGTGGTGAACAAGCCGGCGAAATTCCTCGTCCCCCACTGCAGAAAATATCTCATTGTTCATTGCAATCTCCAGTGTTTTAGTAGTTATGTCGGTAGCTCTATTGCTGCTACCTGTGAATATTGACTAAAATCTAAATATTGGCTGAGAATATAAGAATGACATCTCAAACTGATGCTGATTTCTTGATTTTTAACGAACATCGCCCGAAACCAATATGTTGATCTTTACCTTCCTATGCACTGGACGGCTCAATGGAACACGTCGGAACATCAACACACTACCTTTGCAGCCTGGTACAGCTTCTGGTGCCTGATGAGCTCTGAAATATGGCCGTGAGTGGAGTTTCTCCTTCTGCTGACGAGGTGACTGGCTGCATAATCAAATGTTTAAGTCTCCCCGTTTCATGCCACATTTGGCAGCTGGCTGTAAATTACCCTGCCTGACTATTGGCAGACTCCTCTCTGGAGCCTCAACGTCAGTCTGTAGGGGCCGGCCCGTACGCCGCTCCCTGTAATTACTCAACTATCACGACTAATTTTCAATTTGAGCACTGGGTAAGATTATTTCCCAAAATCCCCTAGTTCTTTTTTTTGGCCCCAAGCCTAGCAAGCTGTGTCTGCATCCTGACAGTGACCACACCAAGTTCTGGCAGCAGAGTAATCATGTCATTATTGGGCCCTTAAGCAAGGCCCTTAACCCCAGGGGTGCTGGGAAAATGGCCGACCCCTTTGCTCTTCCTGTGTGTCACATGAGAAGAAGATGAGATATGTAAAACAAAAAAAATCCTAGGCCTGCACTTGTTCTTGTATAAATGACAATTAAAGTATTACTAAATGGGACGCCTGCAGACATATGACCTGCTGTGTATGGAGTCTGAGAGCCCAATGTGCAAAGCAGAGCCTCCCCCCCCCCCTCCAGGTCACATCACCGGTCCCAAAGTACCCTTTATACTCCTCATTGTGGCCACCACTCATTGTGGCTCACTGGGAACCAGACATTACTCAGCAAAGAGAATGGGTAATATCAAGAAAAAATGGAAAAGAACCACAACCTGAGGCAACCTCCTTTCACTGTCCCTGTCCCTCTCCCTCCCTGTGTGTTTGTGGCAGTTTGTTAATTTGACAGCATGAGAAGCTGCCATCCACTTTTTCCAGGAGATGCAAACTACACCCTAGTGAAGAAAAGATGAAACAGCTCAAAGATGAAGCAGCTGAAACAGCTCACTGCAGAGCGAGAACATATGAGGAGAACGCAAACCACACACAGACCACACGCACACTGCATGTACACCACACACAGACCACACGCACACTGCATGTACACCACACACAGACCACACGCACACTTCATGTACACCACACAGACCACACGCACACTGCACATAACCACATACAGCCTACACACAGACCGCACACACAGAGACCACATGCACACTGCACGCACACCACACACAGACCACAGGCACACTGCACGTAACCACACACAGACCACAGGCACACTGCGTGTACACCGCACCCAGACCACACACACCCTGCACATAACCACACACAGACCACACACCAATGCCATTCTACCACCATCGTTGACCAGGAGGAGGAGCCTCCTAAGCCGCCCTGTCCTTCAGTTAATCTCACCTCTATCACGAGATATTGATTTTTCTCTTCCTTCAGGCGAGCCTGTGTGTTTGTGTGCACACACCTGCCCCAAAAAAGCCTCTCCTGCTTCAGCCGAGACTCAATCGATATGCTGACCCCAGACCCTGATACCGGCTGAGGGAAAATCATCTTGAATGCCTTTGGAAAAGGCTGATAATTGCATTTTATAAACCTCCACAAACCTACTTCCCCACGTGGTGGACACTCTTCATTTCCAATCAGTGGCTAGCAGAAGGTTCCGGGTGTTTAAATAGCCCCCACCCCCCACCCCCCCAACCCCCTTGGCCAGCGAGTTAGAGCAGTCTCAGAGAGCGATGACCTCCGAAGGTGGTCCAGAAGTGGGAGGTGTGAAGAGGCAGCGGCCTGTGTCACACCGCGAACACACCTTGGCGAGATGACATGAGTGAGCCTCCGGGGGGAGCCGTGGAGTGGATGCTGATTGGTGGGCTGGGTGGTCTCCTCAGTACTCCTACCAGAAAGCTGGGAGACTCTCCACAGCAGTACATTCTCTTAAGCCCTAAAACAAAGTCGATTCGATCCCTCGTAAAGATCGCTCCAAAACCCTGGTCATGCTCGTAACTGCTTGCAGCTTGTACTTTCGGGACACCCAGCTAGAAAACCACGGCCGGATGTGAACCAGTAAGCACTTTCAGCAGCATTTTATAGATTACTTTGTCTTTTGTCACAGAGTAAAATATCCCTGCATTATAGATTAATCTAAGTCCCGCCTATGCATATTTATGCATATCAGCAATCGTGAAACAATCACCCAGGAGAAACACAGCCGTATGTTGCTAAAAACTGTAGATTAGAGTGTAATTATAAATGCAAAAGCACTAACAGAGACTCAACAGGGAGAGTCAAAGTTAGGCTGAGTGCCACGTTCCATTCACAGAGTTCATCGATCCATCTTCCACAGCAAGCAGCGAGCCTGCAGACTCTCCTGGGTGGCACAACAGCTAAGGCTGGGGATGCTTTTGGACATTGTGCAAAATGAGTCTGAGCAGGATCGTCACAATCAAATGTGCCGTGTTATTTATGGTGTAGAGTGAATGTTTAATGCAGAATAAGCAGTCCGGGTTACTGCACAAGCTCAAGTCGTAACACGGAAACGCATTTCCTGCGAGCGAAGGCGCCCTCAGTACAGGCTAAACTCAGAAGGTTAATATGCAGTGCTGCATTTGAGCAGCTAAGAGATGCTGGCGTAACACAATTTGCCCCGATATGCAAGCATTGCTCTGCTGGGGGGGGGGCTGCTGCTGAGCCGGACGGGACGAGCTCCCACAGTGGGCTGGTGTTACTGGACACCTCGATAAGGCATTCGTGTGGATAAACGTAATTCCACGTGGGCTGTTCCGGATGTCAAACAGGATTCCGGCAGTAGTCCGCTTGCCCATCTGCTCCTCCCACTACCTGCTCCAACTGCCCCCAGTTCCCTCTAGAGTCGGTGCCCATCTCACTGGCGAGAGATGGGAGGGGGTAGGGAATCAAAACTGCCCCCCCCCCCCCAACCGTCATGCAGTACTTCGATAAGCCGCTTGCACCTGTTATGTTTAATTAGCTAACACTGATCCCGGCGCAGTGACGCGAGGCGTGTGGGGATCCGATAAGCGCGGGCCCTGTCTACTCGGGACGTGCTCATTCAGGACGCCGCTACAGGCGGCGTGGCGGGAAGGGCCCTGGAAGGCTCCCAATCTTCTCTCCCCAGACATTTATTTGGTGTTTATTTCCAGTTTCTGAGTCTGACCGTTAAATGAACTTGCAGTGTTTAATGAGAAAATAAATGTGTACTGTGCAGTGCTTAGAGAAACTGTACAACTACACACACTCGCATACATGCAATCAAACAAACATGCACCCCAGTCATACACACACACACACACACACACACAGCATAGTCCCGCTCAATCATTTCTATGGGAAAAATGCGAATGCTAACAATGACAACCTTAACCCCTACCCTGCCCTAACCATAATCATAAGTAACCATACAAAATACAAGAGTTTTTGCATTTTTAGTTTTTTCATTGCAGTCACAGATTTTATTAAATTGATTTTCCTGGTCCCCATAATGGAAAAAAATGGGTATTCATAACGTTGTGGGGACATTGTGTCCCCATAAGGTAAGGTATACCTGCTCACACACACACACACACACACACACACACACACACATTCATACAATAACCTCCCCACACATTCACAACAACATGCCCCAAACAAACAAATACACAAGCAGACACACATGCTCCGCCTCCCCCCCTGATATATATCCCTAACCCCTCTACCTTGGGAAGTGGGGCTATCACAGCAGATGAGCTTCGTGACCCAGCTGGCCCTGTAGGTCACATGGCAACACATGACAATGCATATGAATATAAATATTTAACCCCTGTCAAAATGGTGCACTGGGGGGGTTTCTGGGTCAGGGGGCATTGAATTAAATTCCAAGGGCTATTTACGCCATTAATCCTACCCCCAAATTCGAGCAACACAAGGTTAAATGACATGTAAAACCTGAAGCTGTGGTGGACGAGCAACTCCAGCAGACATTCTGCTTCTCCTGTTATAAAAGCCATCAAAAGATTTGAAGCACCAAGTACAGATGTGTCTCTCCCCCCCCTCCCTCCCCCCCCAGAAATGAGAACACGCCCAAAACCCCGGGTAGTGGGGGCAAGCTAGGTGCTCTGAGGAGTGTAGGTCACGACGTGTCTTATGGGGCTGCCATTAAGGGAAACTGTCACTGGTCTCAAGTATGCTACAGTATGCGCCATCCAGAATTCCCACATTAGTGAATACAGCACTAATAATAACATCCATCTACCAACCACTGATCCAGTACAGGGTCATGGGGGGGGGGGTCTGGAACTCATCCCAGGCAATGCAGGATGCAAGGCCTGAATGGGAAGCCAGTTCACCACAGGACACACACACACACATAAGTCAGTGATGCCAGTTAGCTTCACTGCGTGTGATTGGACTGCAGGAGAAAACACACAGGCACAGGAAGAAGCAGAACACTGCAGGGGGGTGGGTTTGGAACCCAAGACCTAGTGATGTAAGGCAGCAGTGTTATACTCAATCTGGCATGCTGCAGGGACACCTAGGGGTCCACTCCAGAGAGTGACATGGATTACAACACTGGTTGTACTGGGGTAAAATTTAATCCCTCTTTTAGTTCTGGTTCAGTCTCAGACGACTGCCATCTCCCAAACTATTCAACACAAAAAAATCCGAAATTTATACACCATAATTTAAGAATTACTCTTCTTTAAAAAAAATAATAATAATCAAAAAGATCAATGCCTCCCAAAGGAGCTGAATGGAGCCCCCACTTTTGGCAAGGGGAGAAAAGAGGAGGAGCTTTTCATTGTATGGAGGAAGAATGCTTCAATCAGACGTGACCACGTGTGCCGGGGAGCCAGAGTGACGGCGGAGAGCCTTTCCCAGGCCCACTGTGCCTCGGCGTCCGACACTTTCGCTTTATGTAATATCACTCCAATCGTATGATGTCACTGTAAACGCCTCAAACCTTTTAACTCAAAATGATCACCGCAATTAAAGATGTATGCTTTTACTCAGACTTTACATTAACGAATCGACATGAAGCACTATACTCCAGTGAAGCACTGTATCTCTGCTACCCTTTTCATTCCAGGAACCATTTACTCGTTTTTAGTATTGTGAACTCTTGCCCTCACACGTTTCTCTGTGAGCCCGACGTCCATGTAAATCCGTCCGGCGACCCCCTTCCTCACATCAGTAACGCGGGTGTCAGGGGGCGGCCCCCACTGCCATTGCTTGCGTGACCCACCTGTCCCACGTACACCAGCAGCCGTGCGTTCAGCGGGTTATCATCAGGGCTGAGCCAGAACTCGGAGTTGTCGTCGGAGGCGACGGCGAATTGGAAGTCGCCTGTGGGGGAAGAGATTCCGAGTCAAGGAGTGGCTCATTACGGAGACGTGTCAAGCCTGTGGGGGGGGGGAGGTCATGGGATCGCAGCTTGACGTCGACAATTGACACAATTGAGAGGCATAAATGACGAGGAAGGAGCAGCGGCAGAGGCAAGAAAGTGAAGAAGTAGGTCGCTGGCTTTCCGCGCGCTGGAGAGAGATGGGGTCAGGGCAGATGGAAAGTTCATGGGTAAGCAGCCGCCGCATGCCGAGCAGGGAACAGGTCCAGCTGAGTGTGAGCGTGAGCCTGTGTGTCAGCATCAAGGTGCGTTACTGTGCATGTATTCCTGTGCTATCATGTATATGGATCTGTGTGTATACCTGCCAGGACCTGCATTTCTCAGTATGTATACCTGCCAGGACCTGCATTTCTCTGTGTGTTCATCTATATGTCTGTTTATGCTGCATGTACTTAGGTAGGTGTGTGTGTGAACATAAGAAAGAACATAAGAAATTTACAAATGAGAGGAGGCCATTTGGCCCATCAAGCACGTTTGAGGAGAACTTAACTAATAGCTCAGAGTTGTTAAAATCTTGTGTGTGTGTGTGTGTGTGTGTGACCAAATGTCCCCACAATGTGATAAAAAAATCAGCCCTAATCCCACGGAACAGCCGCACGGCCGCCTGCCACGTGACGCACACCTACCGTCTTTGTATGGGTGGATGTACCCGAAGATCCTCAGGCCGTAGTTCTTCCATTTGGGAGCCACCGCCAGCTTCTTCACCGTGGTCCTCGTCTGCGTGTACAAACGCGGTACTTGGTAACTGGGGCAGTTCCAGGTTTTTTCCTAGACCCTCATGAGCCCATCCCCCCCACCCCCCCGTCACGGCCCAAAACAGGAGCCCGACGACACCAATAATGGCCAACCAAGGCAGCAGTCAAGTAAGGGGCCACCCCCCCGCCCGCCTCTCCCTCATGTTGGTATTCCCCCATGCCAGTCCATGCCCTCGGTGCTACAGTGGGATGCTTGGGATCCAAGAAAAAAAATGCCCATCCGTCACGCCACTCTTCTGGCTGTCTCACCTGTGGGCTCGCTGCCACATGGGACAATAGAGGGGGCAGGGCACACGAAAATGAAATAAAACTTCAAAGAATATATGACGCCCTCACACTGTGGGGCTGGTCATTATTCACACAGTCTGAAGTTTAAAAATCGTTAATCTACAATAAACTGACATACAAACAGGTTATGGCGTCGTTTTTTTTAATCTTAACTACAGATATGTGTGGCAAATGGGGCCTGTGTGGAGAATTTCAAAGGATGGGGGGGGGAGGTGGCCAGAGGCAGGTTGGGTGAACGCTGTACTTACGTGGGGGTACAGGGGGAAGTGGAGATTCTTTCTGAGCTGGGCCACAGAGGTGCCACACCAGTCCTCGAAAACGTGGAGGTTGGCCTGCCCTTTGTACTGCAGGGAACATGCCATAGATGGGGTGAGGGAGAGAGAGGCGGGCTTTTAAAACGATATGAACCGCGGACAGATATTTCACATCCTTTACCGAGCAATTATCAGAGAAAAGGCAATGTGAAGCACTTATCACACGAGACATGAGTAAAACAGACATGCCCGGCCTGGCAACCAGCAGGAGGGCGGGAGATGAAGCCGCTTTATCTCCGTCGCGTCCTTATCGACGGAGAAGGCCACAGAATCGGCAGACGTTACTGCTGCCCAGGTGACATAAAGCTGCTCATTACAAAAGGAAGGTTTTACATGGTCAGATCGTGCTGGAGGTGACAGGATTGGGAGGGGGAGGGGTGGCTGTCACAGGTCACAGGAGAGCAGACTCTAGCGGCAGTACAGGACAGTCACTACATCTTTTATTTTCAATTAACCGGACTCACGTTTCAAACTGCAATCTCTGGTAGGCCCAGTCTGCACTATCCCAACCTGTGATCTTGCCATACCCAGACATGAAATATACCTGATAATATTTTCTTCCCTTCCTGTCAGGGGGGGAACTGTGTCTGACCCCGAGCTGAAGGGGGCTGGGCGGCCTTCTGCGGGGAAGCCCGCTGAGACGCTCTTCAGGGTACAGAGGAGGAGGAAACGGGGGCGACGCCCGAAAAGTCTGCCGGCATGTTCGCTCTCGGATAAAATGAGAAACTCCTTTGAATGCAGCCATTATCTCTTTTGATGTAAGCCAGACTCTTGGGCGCCGCGTCACAGCCAGCTGCCATATAACACGTCGCACAGCGTCTATTAGGTACTTAAACAAAGAGACAGGCTCACAGAGCCCTTCAAAGGGACAGCGCTGCACACCGTTAGCAAAGCGCTAACCTGTATCGCACACGTTTTACACTGGGCCATAGCCTCCCTTTGCACTGGCCTGATACTGGGTGTCTTCTGCTCTGTGTGTGTGTGTCTGTGTGTGTGTGAATGGGTTTACCTATCCTTATGGGGACATAATGTCCCCATATCGTGATAAATATATGTTTTATTTTCACTTATGGGGACCGGTTTCCTGGTCCCCATAAGGGAAAACTCTATTTTATAAAAATCGGTGACTGCTATGAAAAAGCTAAAAATGCAAAAACTCTTGTATTTTGTTAGGTTACTTATGGTTATGGTTAGGGCAGGGTAGGGGTTAGGGTTGTCATAGTTAGCGTTAGCATTTTTCCAATTGAAATGTGTGAGCGGTCCCCATAAGGTTATGTTTACCCTACATGTGTGTGTGTGTGTGTGTGTGTGTGTGTGTGTGTGTTTCCTGTCAGTTGTTACTGTGTAGCACCATCAGGGCACTTCTGGAGCCAGCGGGGAGAAATTGACGTTGCTCACCGGTAATGTTTGCTGCTCCCGGGGCAACTGGGATTTACGCCACCCACTGAGCCTGACCCACTGGGTCCTTTGAAATTTCCTTTGAAATGGTCACTATTAGTCATTGTTTCATCTTTTAATTAGCAAAAAGCTGTCTGCTTCCATATCGTATACTACATCCACCAGTTGTTTGTTAGGAACATAAATCAGTATATTTCATCTTTAGTGTTCATTCAGTTCAGTTTGGTTATTAAATGTTTTACATTCCTTAGCAAATGGCTTAGTTTGTTACCCGCAGATTGGGATGGGGGGGCGGGGGTGTCCCAGTTTGCCACTACACGCACAGGCGTCATGAAGCCACACTTCCCAACACACCATGCGATCGGACTCAGATGGGAAACCTCTATCACACTCGATCACATGTCACCTTGTCGCCTGCTTCCTCTCAGCCAGATCCCCATGGAAACACAAACCCCGCCCCCCCCCCCAACTAACAAGCAGCTTCCAGCACGCTTGTTGGCCAGCTGTCGGCAGCGCTGTCCGTGAGGACGCCTCCCCAATGGTTTCCCGCCCGGGCCTCAGCCAGCTGCCGCTTCACCGGCCCACCGGGTCCCACCGCGGTTACGGAAAGCGGCATCAGAAATAGCAGCCTGCTCTCCCCTCTGGCCTCAATTCCTGGCCATCCGTTTTCCGGAGAGTCCAGGGCAACCAGACCTGACCCCCTCCTGGTCTCTAAGTTCGGCTGGAGTTTCAGGAGTTGCAGCTCTTATCGTATTCAGTACGGGGCGGCGACAGGCATATATATACACCGCACTGCACACACATTCACACCCAGCACAGGCGGTGACCGGCATGTATATACACCGCACTGCGCACACATTCACATCCAGCACAGGCGGTGACCGGCATGTATATACACCGCACTGCGCACACATTCACATCCAGCACAGGCAGTGATGGGCATGTATATACACCACACTGCACACACATTCACATCTAGCACAGGCGGTGACCGGCATGTATATACACCGCACTGCGCACACATTCACATCCAGCACAGGCAGTGATGGGCATGTATATATACCGCACTGCTGCACATGCATCCACCAGGACACTTATAACCTAAACTGCAAAAATATGAAAATAATATGTTATAAATACAGACTTCATGTGAAATTTATTTTGGGGCTTAGTTTATATAATTAGATACTGGAGCTGGAAGAGAGAAAATATCCCTTCAGAAACATAGATCAATTTGGGAGGGGGGGGGGGGCTTTTCCAGAAAGAGTACCAGTTGCAGGGTGGTGTGGGACAGATGGTAATAGAAAGCTGCAGAAAACTGCCACCTCACTGGATGTCCACCCCCACCCCCGAGCCCCACTGCCACAGAAGGCCCTTTTCGCCTCTCTGAAATCTACACTGAATTAGCCCTTCCCTCACACCGCCGGAGCTCATGCTATGGTGATTTAAGCGGCACGCAGGCCCCCCTGAAGCTAACAGGCCTTTTCCCCAGAAGGCCCTGCGCCTGTCTGCTGCAGGTATCCACCTCCATCATGGGAAGGAGCAAGCTGTCACAGACAGGAATGTCAACCTCGCCCGTGTCCGTGGCAAAATGATTTGATTTAAGAAAAAAACACAATGTGGGCTACATTTTTATGTTTTTAAATGCCAAGTCCAAGAAAACACCTGCATTTTCATTAAAATATCCATCAGAATTTGCTATGCTGTCTTTCCTGGCTATGGAGAGCGTGCAAAATTATAAAGATAACAATAATAATAATAATAATAATAATAATAGTAATAATAATAATAATAATAATGAACAATTCACTGGTGTTCTCATGTCAGAAACGAGAAAGACATGGAGGGAGAGAAAGAGGTAGAGAGGGAGACAGAAAGAGGGAGGTCAGGGAGAGAGGGAGAGAGGGAGAGTAAGACAGACAGGAAGACAAGAGCGGGTCAGGGAGAAAGAAGGAGAGTGAGAGAGACAGTGATGGAGAGGGAGAGAGAGGGAGACAGGGAGAGAAAGGGGGGACAGGAAGAGAGGGAGAGAGTGGGAGAGAGAGAGAAGGGGAGTGAGGGAGACAGGGATGGAGAGGGAGAGAGAGGGAGAAGAAGAGAGGGAGAGAGGGAGAGTGAGTGGAAAAAGGGGAGCGACAGGAGGGAACGTGCTTGTGTGTCTATCTCCATCTGTCAGAAAGCTCTCCCTGCCGCCCATCTCGCCTCACTAGTCCCACCAGGCGAGGGCTCTATATATAGCTGCAAGATGCATTAATTGCAGCCCAGACCGGTGGGCGGGGTGCAGAAGGGGCGCATGGCGCATCAACGGGCCCTGGTGAGAGACAGCCGGAGCCCTTCCTGCACAGCCAGGCACCCTAGCCTGCCCGGGGTGACGTCACTCTCAATCACGTCCCCAGACGCTCAGCCGACACTGGGCGCTATGAGGCAACAGAGCAACCTTCCCGAGCGCATGCTGTTTGCCGAACACCGTCTCTGGCTCGGCTGGTACGGCACCCTGCAAACACACGCGAGTGTCTGTGGGCTCCGCCAGTGTGTTTACAGCCTGCTCACCGCCCCCCCCTCCCCCATCCTGCACCACCCCCTTCCACCTTCTTCCAGTAGGACGAGCCTTTAAAGTGCCGTATGCAAACAAATGTCCATAAGAAAAAAATAAAAAGCAACCCATAGATGATAAAATGTCCCATGAAACTACACAGTAATGGACGCCTTGCTGGATATTGTCCCATTAGGCCCCATCCCTGTATCTCTCGCCGATGCCGCCGTGATGCATTTTATGCACCAGCCGCTCCCCAACGGCCCTATAATGGCGTTCAGCGACAGGATGGGGGACGAGCTTGTAAATCATCGTGCGGAAAACAAAGACCATCGGCAGCCGGGGAGAACCCCCCCCCCCACACACCCCAGATGAGCTGGGGAAGACAAGCCAGGAGGAAGAGCACTGTGGCCTTCACACATGCAGGAAGAAGCAGCAAGAGATGCGCAGGAAGCTGGAAAAAAGGTATCAAAGAGGGAGAAGGGGAAGAAGGAGATGAAGAAGACCCTGCTTCATTAAGCCTCCTCCTCCTCCTGCTTCTTCAGGGTGTGTGGGGGGGTGGTGTACAGATGGTAGAAGGGGGGGAAGGAGCCCTGAACGGGGAACAATTGTCAAATTCTAGATCTTCTTCTTCCTCTTAGGAGTGTAGAGCATAGTAGGCTGTAGGGGGCAGTATGGAGTTATACACCTTGATCAGAAAGCAGTTGTACCTTGCTAGACGACTCTGTGTGTCTGTCTGTGTGTCTGTCTGTGTGTCTGTCTGTGTGTCTGTCTGTCTGTCTGTGCCAATGACAGCTTGGGGCCTCCAAGATACCTCAAGGACACTGGCAGGAGTGTTAAAGGCACATCTGAAGAGTTACCACTATTCTACATTCAATATCAGCATTAGCATCATAATGGAAAAGCATTGTGCTGTTGCGCAATGTCAACACCATCCATCAGAAAGGCAACAAAACAGCGTAATGACAGACCTAAGGAATGTGTGCTTCGAATTAAAGCATCATCATGCCAAACACCTATACTGCTGGCCAGAAACCTCACCAAACCTAATCAGGGTTTCGGTGTAGTGAGCTAGCCAGCGGATTAGCGCTGTCATTTCCAGGCAACGGCATTCAGCAGCGAGTTCTCCAGCCTCGAATTACAGGCAGGAATTTGCCACTCTGACTCTCCTGAAACAGCATCTCACTGTTCATACACCTGGGACTTCCAAGCTCTGTTACTGAATACAGATCTGCTAAACAAACAGCCCGTGCAGCATGTTTCATGAAGTACGCCTCTGAGAAGAACAGGGGAACATTCTGAGCAGCTTGTCCGATATCCTACCTGCAGTGCCACTCCCATCCTTACAAAGATGCCATTCACAGACAGACAGAAAGGAAAGACAGAAAAGCTGAATGCAGTTTTGTGTTTTTAGTCCATTCCTCAACTCATCAAGCCCAAGACCCGACCAAGCAATAAATCATGGATGTGAATATCAAATGACAGTAATCATTTCCATTTCGTTATACAATATTAATTTAAAAAAATGTTAATTTAACAGATGGCACTGGGAGATTATATGTAAATTAACATGCAATTCACAACTTGAATCCTAATTGAGGTTCGGTAAAGTTTAACTAAACACCACAAATCTTACTGATGCTCAGAGACGAACTCTAAGCCCAGTCAGGGGGTTCTGGTGGCAGACGTCCCCGGCAGGGTTATGAGGGAATTTCCAGAGAATCTTTATGAAAATTTTAAATATTGTTCGATAAATCTATCCCCCACAAATTCTCCCCAAACGCATTACCCCCCCCGCCTGATCGACGGAGGGTGACCCACCAGGTCGGGGTTATTGTCACGCAAGTCCCCTTCCCCTCGATCAAGAATTATCAATAATTCACATGGGGAATAAATTGTACGTGCTGCATTCCGGTGACATTTGGTGCTGTGTGGCCACTCAAGGAGCCTTCAGCACTTATGGCAGCCATAGAACAGCACATTACAGCACCAGTGTGCACCTACAGGGGGCAACGTCCTTAAATCCTCAGTCATCCATTGTACCTTTATGCTATGGGAGGCTTCCTGCACATTTCCCCCTACTGATGCGGAGTTCTGTGCCACTGCCATTCCCGAGAATAGCGATTCCGAAACAAGTGTAGGGCTGATGGCTCTTCCTGGTACCTTATTTACACGCCTTTCAAAGAGTCGCACTTCGGCTGGTTGCAAAGGGCGACGGAATATTATTAAATCAAGAAAAGCAGAGAATCCATGATTATTGACTGTGTAATCATGGCCGAATGGTGAGGTAGTGGGTATGTATTGGATCCCTTATTGGCTAGATGCCCCTTAGAGAAGACCACAGCGGTCATCACCTCCAGCTTCCATCTGAGCTTCTTCTGCTTCTGCCTCAGGAACTTCCTGACTTCTATCAGCTCTCGGCTCTCCTCTCCCAGCCCGTTGGGCTCTTCCTCCTGTAAGACAGAGAGAGAGGGTTTAAGATTCAAAAGGGTTAATCGCCCAGAGAGTAAGGGATCATCTCCTCGAGTTACGCTCCCTAAGGTGTGGTGACTAGGGAAATTTCGTTTTGTGACCCTTGTGCACAGTCATGCAACAAGTCTGCTGAAAATCGCAAATGTATTCCTCATTTTTTATGTAACACAAAAACTCGCAACATTTGACTAAGTATAATCAAAAATAGAATTAGACGTCAATTTGACAGTTTTTTTCTATGCCTGCATAGCTGTCATTTATACGATTATGCCAAACAACATATCATTCAGTGGGGGAAAATAATAAAACGAAACATACTCATAAAGGAAGTGAAAAATTGCTTTCTATGTTACTGTGACATCGGTATCACTGCAGACAAATCAGAGCGGCTTTAACCACGTAAAAAACAATCCATTATTACCACCCAAATACTTCCAGTTCCAGAAAATCAGAGATAAGGGAACACTTTGAAATAGTATCGTTTTATCCTCTCAATTCTAGTAAGCTGATGATAACCAAAGCATGATGTTGCATGTGCTGAAGACTGAGTGTTGACATTTGTTGAGTGGGATGAAGACACGTAACGATCAAAATGATGCTAAGCGACAGGGCTGGAATTCCTTCCCCCTTTGCTGTTTTTGCTTTAATCCAACGCTCCCCCCTCAATCACCAGCATAAGCACAATGCAGTTTAATCATCTTTGAATCATGGAAGGCAGTGTTTTTTGGGCCGTGACGTTATAACCACGGAATCTTGGGGGACCTGTCATGTGGGACCAGTCGAAAACCATTAACGTACGGCATCATGAGGCTCACTCATTTGCAGGAGTTTGAAGCATTTACTTAAGAAAAGGTCCAACAGACTGTAGAGGCCTGTGTGAGAAGAAGCTCAGGTCCTGAAGAACTTGTTTAGTTCAAAGCTGTTGCAAGTTCCAAATAGATGCAGAACTGCCGCAGGCAAACACACAATAAGGCGTTTTAAAAGGCACCTCGCAGGTAAAAAGTGCCGATGTTGTAACGTAAAACCAGCAGTTGGTGGCAGATGAAGAGAGCATGAAATCCCCAGTAAAATAGGAGAGTTGGAAAACATCTAATGACTCCAAAATGTTCGAGTCACTTTGAACTCGTCTCAGATATAGGGCTGTCAGATATCATGAGGTGTGTGTGTGACAGCTTGCAGGAGTCTCCTGGCGCACAGGACATGAGAGCGGGAGACTGTTTCAGATCGGAAATCATGGACAGCAGATGCTGTAATCCCAAGGTCATCCCCATAAGAGATCCTCTGGAGTCGTCGGGAACAAAAAAACCAACGTGACCGGCCTTATTCAGCTGTACGAACGGGAGAAAGAGCTACTTCGGACGAAAACACCAAATCATCAGGAAAATTGGGATCATATTTAAACCACAAAACATTATTTTCTTGGAATGCCATACTATATATTTATGAACTGCACTATAATATAATAATATAATCTGAATATAGTGAATAATATTTAATAGTGACTTAAATGTCATGAAGGATGTTCCATTCCCTGGGCTTCAGCCTCAGGGCCTATAAGTGCAGTATGTGGATGGAAAAATTCACGCCCAGTTCTGCATATCTAAGGCCAGCTGCCATACTGTCTTCCATTCATACTGTCACCCACAGCAAACATTTTTATTTTCCTCTGCGTTTATTATGATTTTATTATGGGCTGAGGTTCATCATAAAACTTTTGCTCTGGGAAATTATGAGAAAATGACTAAAATGCTTATTGGAATTGCAAGATATTGAACTGCATGATGGTTATGTAAAGACTACAAACTGTCTGAATTATAATTAGCTTCACAGATAGGCAGTAATTCATGATACAGCTTTTAATGCGATTTTACACTCGCGGCTGTGGCTAAGGGACTATGCAGAAATCGTTTCCAATTAGTGGGATTATTTCATATAACTGCCTTTAAGTGACCAAAGATAAAGATAAAACAGACTGGGAGAATGGCTAACGGCAAGGTGGGCGCAAGTCATAAAACTGCTGATTCAAAACTGAAAGGGAACTAATCATTCATTGTGTTAATAAAACTTTCTAAGAGAATAGTGAGTCTGACAGAGCCGTAACAACAAACAATCAATCAATCCATCCACCCATCCATCCTTCTTCCATTGTAAGGCAGCACAGTGCAGTGCTTCTCAAACCAGTCCTCGGGGCCCCCAGTCGATCCTCGTTTTTGCTCTCTCCCAATTCCCCGAGAGTTGGGAGGGAGCAAAACCGTGGACTGTCTGGGCATCCCTGCGGACTGGTTTGAGAAGCACTGGCACAGGGCACAAGGCAGCGGCGTGCCCTGGATGTGACACCAGCCCATCTCAGGTCAAAACAATGTCCAGTTTGACCGACTCTCTGGGTGGCTCGCAGGCTCTGGGGGCAGCACTGCTGCGTCACGTTGCCATGCTTGGGGGTCTGAACCCCATCAGTGTTCCGTGTGGGTGGAGTTTGCATGTTCACTCTGAGTCATCTGGGTTTCAAAGACATGCAGTTTGACTTAACGGTGTCTCTAAACAGCTGGTGAGCCCCACACTAGCTGGGAACAGCTCTGGGTCCCTTGTGACTAAGGGACCAGTTTCAGTCTGAAGAATGAAGGGATCCCAACTTCCCTCTTACAGGGGCTGGGGAATCGGTACAATGCGATTGCGAGGTCCAGATTTTATCGCATTTTGGTCTGGATACAAAAATATGGGACAAATCGCATCCTGTATTGGTTAAAATGGGACACAGCTATTAATTTTTTTTTTTTTACAAGATGACACCATTTAATACGGGATCCGTAGCAACTCTACTCACGACCCTGACCAGATTGTCAAATCACACTTTTTTTTCCATATGACATCAATCCTTTTTCTTGTTGGCAATTGAAGCACCTTCAGTTTTTCTCCAGCACTCAGTGAACCGCCAAACCCAGGCAGACTAAGGGGCCACATTCATACCTGTGGACATGCTGTCTATCTAACCCGCCATATAAAGAGCTCCTTTCCCCTCATGCATCTTCAGTAGGGGGGTTGAAAGAGACACGTTACCCCCATGTCATATTTCTCGTGTGTATTGGCACCCACACCGCGTACGCAAAGCGCTCTGGTAAACACAGCTCCCAGCGGCAGGGAGTGACACAGAAGCACAGTGAACGGCCCTGAACGGCGCACTGCATCAAACCATCTCACAACATCTCCACACGTGCAGCCAAAGGGAGAGTCCTACAAATCTGCTTCAATCTTTCACTGTTATGCACTTTTGATTTCAACCAACTTATCGGTCACGTTTTATTTGTTATTGCACATTATGCTACTGACAACTGGTACGTTAAGTTATATAGTTTGAAAATGTAGTTTATAGCAGTGTAAAATCCAACTTCAGCTGTAAATAATATATTATAATGGCTTGAGTCCCCATGACAGAAGCTCGATGCACGTTTAGCCGTTCCAGCTGCCTGGGCAGGGGATTACGGCAAAAAAACAAATTACACAGTGGATTCTTCATACACCACCGTAAGAACATTTACTACCTATTAATTAATGCCATATTTTATTCTCTAGTCATGTTTCATTTAGTACTATAATTTATTTTTATTTACTGTGCCTACTGCAACGTTCTGTACAGAATATTGGCATTTAAAATTCAGAGAAAGCTGTAAGTAAATAATCGTTTGTATTCTCTTGAATATGAATAATGCTGATTTCTGGATGATGTTGTGAGTATTTTAGTTATTAAATGGAGGCTGGGGGACGCCCCCTACTCACAGCACACCCTGTGACCCCAGCACCCTCCACCACTAAGGGGGTGGGCTCACGCCTGAGCTTGCCGTGATTGGTCAGTGTTTGGGTTTTCCCATGTAACACGCTGTCAGCTGTCTGAAGGCCTTCACGTGTCACATAGCCAAGCGTGTGCGTCGGACATAAGTCATGTCCTCGTGGATGTTACAGTCTCTCCTGGTGACAGTTCCAAGGTGAAACGGGGTGGGGGTGTCATCTGTGTGGACAGCATCTTGAAATTTCTGGTGAAATTCCTCTCTGGGCTACTCTGGCTACATAGAAACTTACAGTCCATTACACATTAAACCTCAACAAGAGCAGCTGGATAAAGAACTTATTACTAGTATAAAAACTTATGACTGCGACTGTGAATGTGTTACTAGTTACAGATAATTACTAATTACTTGCTAAATAGTAACCAGTTACTACTAGTTAATATGGTTTTTTAACCAAAAGCGTGAATGCACTGAGCCCGTTGCAGCGGCCCCTGGGGGCCCAACACACAGGGGCCCCGCACATGCCCGTCGGTTTCGCACCCTGACAGACAGCCATGATAGTGGCCCCTGGGGACCTCACACAGGGGCCCCGCACATGCCCACTGCTCCGGCACCCTGACAGACAGCCATGACAGTGGCCCCTGGGGGCCCCACACACAGGGGCCCCGCACATGCCCGTCGGTTTCGCACCCTGACAGACAGCCATGATAGTGGCCCCTGGGGGACCCACACACAGGGGCCCCCCATATGCCCGCTGCTCCGGCACCCTGACAGACAGCCATGATAGTGGCCCCTGGGGGCCTCACACAGGGGCCCCGCACATGCCCGCCGCTCCAGCACCCTGACAGACAGCCATGACAGCAGCCCCTGGGGGCCATCACAAAGGGGCCCCGCACATGCCCGCCGCTCCAGCACCCTGACAGACAGCCATGACAGCAGCCCCTGGGGGCCTCACACAGGGGCCCCGCACATGCCTGCTGCTCCAGCACCATGACAGACAGCGAACACCTGTCACAATGTCAGCAGCCGTGTTTAGGGCATCTAGGCGGTACATGGCTGTGACGACCCGTCCCCAACACAGCAACACAACAGCTGCAAGCGCTATTTGGATGTGCCCTCTTCCGTCAAGCAGGGACAGCGAGGACGACGTCCTACTGCCAGCCTCACCGACTGCAGTCAGAGACCAGCCCTCGCTTCCGTGG